CAACGTCCTCCACAACTAGATAGACTGAAGAACAAAATGACAGCAACTTGTCTGTTCCCCTTCCCCCAATTCCCCAGTGCTGTTCCCATCCCCCCAATTCCCCAATAAAAATCTTTTAAAAAAAAAACAAACAGTTAACCAAGTTTATTCTTTGGAAGGGCTGAAAAGGCTGCGTGAAAAAGTTAGACAACCTAAACTTTTCACCAACAATTCATGGCTCTTGCATCACAACAATGCACCAGCTCACATGGCACTTTCTATGAGGGAGTTTTTAGCCAGTAAAAAATAACTGTATTGGAACACCCTCCCTACTCATCTGATCTGGCCCCCAATGACTTCTTTCTTTACTTCAGAAAAAAAAAATATTGAAAGGAAAACATTTTGATAACATTCAGAGCATCAAGGGTAATATGGCAACAGCCCTGATGGCCATTCCAGAAAAAGAGTTCCAAAATTGCTTTGAAGCGTGGACTAGGCGCTGGCATCAGTGCATAGCTTCCCAAGGGGAGTACTTTGAAGGTGACCATAGTGATATTCAGCAATGAGGTATGTAGCACTTTTTCTAAGATGAGTCGCAAACTTGTCAGCCCTTGTATGCATACCTATATATAACTATATATATATATATATATATATATATATGTCTTTACATAATTCAACATATTGGTTACACACATAAGGGTGAGGGGGGCCTGCTGCCTTGGGGTTCATTTCAAGTGGGGTATCTAGTGTGCAAGCTTGTTCTATATCTAGGGCTGAATTTCATTTCACAGAAGATTATTTTTTAATATTTCTGTCAGCTCTACATGTCATGTGTGTTTTCCTGCACTGATGTTAATTATACAACAGAAAACTCTAAAACCAATTTATCTGATTTACCTATAATCATCTTAAGAGTTGCTGAAAACTATTGGGTTGTCGGAAAAGTCATGACATATTTTTTCTACGTTTTTCGTTGCAAAAATGAATCATGACTTTTCCGACAACCCAATGTTTTATAATATTCAACAGTCATACATCTTACCATTAGGGAATAGATGGTAATTTGAATAACCTGATAAAGGAAAACTGATAATATAATGTTCAAAAAAGCACAGGGGACATAAACGGTATGACGCTGTTTTCTCCAAAACAATTAGGTCCAAATCAGATACGCTCAGTACCTCCCTTCTGGTCAACATCATACTGAGAGCCAACCCAGCACCAACAAAACAAACAAATGTACGAGAACTAGAAAGGAAAATAAAAAACAAAAAAACCACCTCATCTTCATGCCTAACTCCAGCAACCATATGTGTAGGACACTCACAGAACAAAAAGACAATCATAAGAAAAGATTTTTAACAAGAATCTGGGATAAAAATTCAGTATAAAAATACATTTCGAGCTGGCCAAGTGGCTCAGTTGGTTAAGAGTTAGCTTAAGAGCATGAACTCTGAGCAACAGGGCCACCGGTTCAATTCCCACATGGGCCAGTGACGCTGCACCCAAGCTGAGCTGGCTCAGCTGGTGAGAGCACATACTCCTAATAACAAGACTGCCTGTTCGATGGTGGGCTATGCCCGCCTGCAACTAAGACTGAACTCGGCACCTTGAGCTGAGCTGCCACCCAGATGGCTCAGTGGATAGAATATGTGCTCTTAACAACAAGGCTGCTGGTTCAACTCCCGCATGGGATGGTAGCTACACCCACCGGCAACTAAGATTGAACACAGCACCTTGATCTTAGAGGCCACGAGCTGCCGATAGACAGCCAGATGGCGACTGGCGCCCTCCACAACTAAGACTGAAGAACAACAACTTGGCTGGTCCCCTCCCCCAATTTAAAATTTAAATTCGCCAATTTGAAAAAAAAATTATAAAAAAATACATTTCATCACCCTGGAAAGCTCATTTTAAAAAGATAACATAGGCTATGGTAAAAAGCAAACTTAATTACTACTAAACAAGTCTAATGAAGGCTATAAAATGAACCAAATGGAAGAATTTTTAACGATTAAGGATAGGGACCAGTCAAGTGGCTCAGTTGGTTAGAGTGTGAGCTCTGAGCAACAGGGTTGCCGGTTCGATTCCCACATGGGCCAGTGAGCTGCGCCCCAGCTAAGCTGCCACTGAGCTGGTGAGAGCGCGTGCTCTTAACAACAAGGTTGCCAGTTCGACTCCAGCATGGGATGATGGACTATGCCCCACTGCAGCTATACTGAAAGTGGCGACTGGGCTTAGAGCTGAGCTTGCGCCCTCCACAACTAAGACTGAAGGACAACAACTTGACTTGGAGCTGATGGGTCCTGGAAAAACACAATGTTCCCCTCCCCAATTCCCCAATAAAATCTTAAAAAATAATAAGATTAAGGATAGTAACAGAGTAAAATGAAATAAATGGAAAGCTGGTACATGCTCTTAAATAGGAGACCTCAGTGTTACCGATATCAACACTCCCAAGGGAGACCTAAAGTCTTCATAAAATTCCATTAAATCCCCAAACCAGATTTATTATTATTATTTTTTTTTAGGATTTGACAAAGACTAATTTTACAAACCTAACAGGAAAAACGAATTCCAAAAACAGCCAGAATGTTCTGAAGAATAAGGCGGGTGCCTGCCTATCACACAGCAAGGATTGTAAAGCAATAGTAATCCTGACATGATGGAATCAGCAGAGGAATGGGCAACTACAGCCACCAAAAGGGAAAACTCTGGAAACTGACCACCATCTATTGATTCACAACAGGGCACAGCGGTGGCAGAAAAGACAAACACTTTAATACCTGAGACAGGGACAAACTGTAATCTAAATAACGAAGATGCTTGTATTCCTACGTCTTCTATGGACAATAATCAACTCACTGTGGATTACAAATAAGTGTGTTATAGGTAATAGCAGACAACAGTGTAACTACAGTCACAAGTTCTCTACCCTGCCAAGGAAAAGAACTGGTAGTTTGGTGAATCTTTATAATTCATCAACCTGCCAAACTTCTTCACCCCTTTGCTGCCATATTGGAAGGGAGATTGTCTGTTTCTCTGACATTCTTTTCCCTAGTGGGACTTTCAAGGCTACCCCCTGGAATTCCATTCACAATTTTTATTTCTTGCAATTAACTTTTGTATCTTATGTCAGTTTGTCTTTTAAAAAATTAATACTTATTACTCATCATACAATCCACCCCCTTCTCCAAAGGAAAACAATTCCAGGGAAGAAGTAATTTAGGGGGCAGTTGAAATAGGACTCTAGGTTCCTGACAAAGGGGTCAAAGGCTTCTCAGCTCACCATCCTATACATATACATCAAAATGGCAGCACCTCAAGATCACCTGAATGAAGTCCCAAATTCCAGCCCTAGGCAAGTGGTGCAAGTGAATGCCTCAGGTTTAGAATTCCATTTCCCATCACTCAAAGGAACAGACCTTAGAAACTATTACACATTGGAGGGAATTTAAAAAGGTTTAACAAATGAAATGAGAGTCATTTTCTTTTATTTTCCTGACATTCACCCTCTAGGAAATGTTTTATCTTTCCTGCTCTATTAATTAAAAGTATTTTATATCTGCTGAAAAATTGAGGCTCCAATAAGTGAAAACATCTTTTCAAAGTGACAAACCCTGGGAAGGGCAGTGCTCAACTGGAACTAGATAACTCAAGGGTCAAGTGCAGGCATCCTACCACGTGGAACACCCCTCCCCCACCGCTCTCCGGCGAGATCCCCGAACAAAGGACACAGGCTAATGTCCCACTGTGAGTCTCAAGTGCATGTGGCTTTGCAGGTGGCTGCCCCACCTCACTGGGTGGGCTTTCCCTGTCCTTTGGGTTGGCTTCTCTCCCTTCAGGGAACCCGAATCATTTTCATCTTTTCTCCTCAATATCAGCGTCCGGAAGGCTGACAACTCTGTCGCTCCGGGGAATGAGAACTGAGGTCGGGGTCAGCTAGGGACCGAGCACTTACCAGGAGATTCCTCCCAGCCCGGGCCCCCAGGCAGATCTCCCCAGACTCCCCGGCCGCCCCGCAGGCTGTCCGCTAAGAGGAGCAGACTAGAGGCTGGTATTCCTCGACCCCCGGACAGATGCAGCTGTGCGCATCTGGGTCACCACAGGCCGTCCTGAGACCCCAGACACAGCACGGGCCCGACAGGACGCCGGGTCCCCATCCCGCAGAGGAGAGAGCAGATACTCGGGTCGGGACGCGGGGGGCGGGGTGCAGGGAGACCCGGCCCGCAGCCGGTTCTAGCCGGTTCCAACGGGATCCTCCCGTTCTCAGCCACGGCCCCCGTACACTCACCATCTCCGAGCTCTCAGGGGGTCGTTCTCGCGGCTCGGGCAGGCGAGAGCGACGCGGATGCAGCACCTGGGGTTGCGCGGGGCAGGTGTGCACCAACACCTTGGCCAGCCAAGAGCGACATCTACGCTCACTCCCTTCCACGAGACCTCTGATTGGACATTGCTCGGGACTCCGGCGTTGTGATTGGACGGTGTTTCGGGCTCTCCCATACCCGTGGGTCATCTGATTGGACAGTTACGCAAGACCCGCCCCTGGCACCCCTAACGGGACAATGCTCCGGCGTCAAGTCCCTGATTGGACAGCGCTCCGGACACCGCCCGTACTGTCCTGATTGTTTCCCCGTGCTCCGCCCCTGTCGCCGTGATTGAGCCGTTCTCCCAGGCTCCGCCCCCTATTTTCTGAATGACAGGCCGTCGGGACACTCGTGACCGACCCGCGCCTAGCACATTGGCTCAGAGTAGGACCCACGCTGACGAGCTTCTGTCCGCAGCTCTGCTGCCGCCCGTGTCCTCTGGACTGGGAAATCTTGACTCAGTTTTCCGCGGAGCGCCTTCAGTGCTTAGGCCGGGCAGGACAGGAGAGCCTCGTGACCTCCAGGGTCAGGGGTCATCCCAGGACGTACTCACGGTTGATCTGTGCCCTTTGTTTAAGAACAAAGACAATCACCAGTGTTGTCTCCGCGTACACTGCAGGGTCCCCCTTAGTTTTGACGTGTGACCTTTGACACCGGGAGGTCCACCCTCCTTCCCACCCCACCTTCGGGCTTGAGGTCAGCTACACCTGGCCCTCAGTTCCTTTGCCGCTTTGGGAAGTGGGAACCTGAGGCCCCAGCCTACCCCCAGGACTCCTCAACACAGCCACAGGAGTGACATGTTGGAATTCTCAGTGTGCGTGTTACACTGCAAGGACATTTATGTCAACTCAGGTTTTCATTCAGTTCCCAGAGGATTTTGAAAATGAAAAGGCTGATATTGTGAACTGTATGACTGTACCTATTACCACTGAACTGTACGTTTAATAATGGTTAAGATGATAAACTTTATCTTATGTGTATTTTACCACAATATAGAAAAAGGTTTTACTTTTTTAAAAGGCTATGATATCCCTAAGGCAATTGAATTCCTATTTTAACTGGTACAAAACAACAAAAAAGCTTATGTAAATTTAGGATAGACCTGAAAACTCTTATTACACTTAATAGATGGAGGGCAATGCATTTAATATGCCTGCTCCTTTTAGAAAACGTTCTCTCATTTGAGATTAAGTGGGCATCCAAATTCCGATATCACTTGTCATTTTACTTACCAACAGAATTTTTAAAATTCCTTTTTTATGGTTTCCAGAAAGGTTTTAGGATTTCATAAAGGCCTTATGATTAACACATAAAAAACTACTGGGCCGGCCGGGTGGCTCAGTTGGTTAGAGTGCAGGCTCTGAGCAGCAGGGTTGCCGGTTCGGTTCCTTCATAGGCCAGTGAGCTGAGCTGAGCTGCTGCTGAGCTGCCAACGGCGGCAGGATGGCTCAGCTGGTGAGAGCATGTGCTCCTAACAAGGTTGTTGGTTTGACTCCTGCATGGGATGGTGGGCTGCACCCCTCCACCCACATACACCCCCATCACCCCCCCACCAGCAACTACCATATTTCCCCATGTATAAGACACACCCATTTTCAAAATTTTGGGGGTCTAAAAACTGGGTGCGTCTTATACAGTGGTTGTAGATTTTTTTACTTGCATTTCCCGCTTTAGCACTTGTTTTTGCGCTCAACCACTGTATAAGATGCGCCTAGTTTTTAGACCCCAAATTTTTCAAAAAAGGGTGCATCTTATACATGGGGAAATACAGTATTATAGCTTAAAAGCAGCGACTGGACTTGGAGCTGAGCTTGCGCCCTCCACAACTAAGACTGAAGGACAACATCTTGACTTGGAGCTGATGGGTCCTTGAAAAAACACAATGTTCCCCTTCCCCAATTCCCCAACACTGTTCCCTTCCCCAATTCCCCAATAAAATCTTTAAAAAAAATTTAAAAAAAACACTCATTGAATTTATAAACTATTACAAAATAAAATATGATTATGTGCATTTTTTGTTTAATATGTGTTAATCATGAATGCCAACTTTCAAAACTCAGCATGGAGTCCGGAATGGACCTCTAGCATTCCTGTCTGCTTGCCATTATGTGTTTAGCGATCTATCCTAGGAGCATCACTCTTAAAGAACGTTATTCCATTTATTAAGGAGAAAAATGAGGCTGGTCTCTGAATTCTTGACTAAACATTCATTGTCACAAGAGAGGCGAGTAACAGCTATGACGATCTGATGGGGAAGGAGTGTAATTGAAGATCCTCAGGCCATGCAGGGATGTCATTCACGCACCAGAAAAAGAAAGTCAGTCTCAAACGCGCAAGGAGTGAGAGGCCAGGAAGAACAAATCCCCTATCCTTCCTCCAGCCTTTCACTCACCCACCAACATCTCCCCTTAGCAGAGTCTACTGGGAAGCTGCTGGCAATGTAAAAACATGTTTTACAGCGCTTCCACTTCACATCACAAAGCAACTATGAAAGGGTAAGTGTGGCCAGCACAATAACAGCCCCCTAAAGGTATGCACGTCCTAATTATTGGAACCTGTAACTATGTCACCTTCCATAGCAAAAGGGACTTTGCAGAAAGGACTGAGTCAAAGCCCCTGACATGGGGATAACCCTGGATTACAGGGGGCCCAGTGTCATCACAGGTCCTCATAAGAGGGAGGCAGGAGGCTCAGAGTCAGAGAGATGGAAGAGGCTGCACTGCTGGCTGTGACGATGGAGGAGGGGCCACGAGCCAGGGATCCCATGCCTTTAGAAGCTGGAAAAGGTCAAAACAGTTTTCCCTGGGGCCTCCAAAAATAACATAGCCCCCCTCCAAACACCTTGATTTTAGGTTCTGACCTCCAGAACCATTATAAGAATTGGTTAAGTCACTGAATGTATGGTAATCTGTTACAATGATAACAGGAAACTCATACAGTGGGTCTGATGCAGAGAAACAAGAACTTAATACTAAGTGGCACAAATAACTCCTGTCCCAGTCTCATCCTTCATGAGACAACTGTGAATGTTCCATGCGCTCCTTCAACCTGACTCTTCTCCTAGTACAGTCTCTCTGAGTGACCTGACCATTTCTTCAGAGAACAAAATCTTTGTGTCTGAAATACAGCACTTTTTGGATAGATGATGTTCTGACTAGAAATTTTGTCCCAAACTGTAAGTATCCATTTGCAAAACATTAGGAGAGTTGATTTTTGCATTCCTCACGGAAACATACATTGATAACCACAACACAGCGAGAAGGAAGGGGGACACTTTTAAACTATTATGAGGGCCGGCCGAGTGGCTCAGTTGGTTAAGAGCTCACTCAAGAGTGCGAGCTCTGAGCAACAGGGTTGCCGGTTCAATTCCCAGCCTGAGCTGAGCTGCTGCTGAGCTGCAAACAGCTGTTTGCTGTATGGCTCAGCTAAAAAAATTAAAAATAATAATGATAAATAAACTATTAGGACATCTTTCAATCATACAAAATATAATGGGAATAACATTTTTAATACTCATGTATCTACTGCTAAGCTCTATTAAATCCTATCAGTTCACCATACTCTGTCAGATTTCATGAAATAATAAAACCATTATAGAGTTGACATGTCCTGTTTATCACCTCCAGGATCCTATTCCCCTCCATCTCCCCCCAGGAGAAACCATAACCACAAATGTGATATCCCTTATTGTCATACCATATATATGGATCCACAAGCTATATATAACATTACTGTCCCTATATTCAAATTTATAAATATGCCATTATCTTATACATACTCTGTTATTTGACTTTTATATCCTTTAAAAACTGCTTAGTGTTGATAAATCACAATATAAAAGATTAATATAATTTTCAATGTAACAAAATAAAATGCCAAAAAAGTTAAAGCAGGAAATATACCTCCCAAATTAACAGAAAAGAAACACACTCTTCCAATACAGATAACAGAATAAAAAAATAGAGAAAGAAACTTCAAAGATAAGAAAAATGACATAAAGTATGTTAGCGGAATTAAAGCCAACAATATTTATGACAGCAGTAATTGGAATAAATGTATCCATTAAATAGAAAAGGATTCTAAAACAAAATCCATCTATATGTTTAAAATAAAGAGTTATAGGGGATTCAAAAAGTAGAAATTCAAAGGAGATGAAAAATTACACCAAAATCAAGCAGATTAATTTTGTTTAAAAAGCAGAGGTAGTGCTATTAATTAAAGCAAAGAGATCACTTCAGAGTGATAAAGGGTATAATTAATAATGAAGACCTATCATGAATTATTTATCCCAAAACAAAAAAAATAAACAAATTTTTTTAAAATGAAGCAAAAAAAAAAAAAAACCAAAACAGAAAATAATGAAATTCAGCACAATAGCAGTAGGAAACTGTCTTGAGCTAATTATCTTTGAATCAGCAATCCAAGGATAACTAAGGATGAGCAATGTTTCTCAAACTGTAATTAAAAGAGGAACACTGGTGAAATCACCTGGTGTGCGTATTAAAAATGCATATTACTGGGCTTCAACTCTCGCTTATTAAATCTGAACCACCTGACATGAAATTTGAGAGCCACTGATTAATAAGATTGATTTAATAGACATCAGACAGACACAGAAGGACAAATACTGTGTGATCCCACTCATAGGAGGTCCCCAGAGGAGTCAGATTCATCGAGACAGAGAGTAGATGGTGGTGCCAGAGGCTGGGGGAGGGGAGGGGAGTGAGTGTTTAATGGGGACAGAGTGTCAGTTTGGGAAGATGAGAAAGTTCTGGAGATGGATGGTGGGGATGGCTGCACAGCGATGTGAATGTAATTAATGCCACTGAGCTGGACACTTAAAAATGGTTAAGATGGCAAATTTTATGTTATATGTATTTCACCACACAAAATTTTTTTAAATCTGGCTCTTCACTTGGGCAGAAAAAAAATGAACACCCTGACTCTGTACTCAGGAGGGATCGGGGACGCTATCTATGCCTGTGGTAAGACTGGTTGTGTTATACTTCTTTTTGCCGCAGTTCCAAGAACCTATCAATGATGTTAAGTGAGGACTGACTGTACTGAAGAAATCAGGTTATTCACTGTGTTGGAGAAACCAGTGACTGTGAACCCCCCAGATGAGCAGAACCATGGCTGTCTCATCACCAATAAAGCCCCACTTCCTAACACAGCTCTTGACACACAGGAGGTGCTCAGCAAATGTAAATTGCTGAGCATGTAAATGAATGACACTCATCTTACCCACGGAGGCCAGGTTCTGGCAGGTCTCCAGCATCATTGGTCTGTAGAGATTTCTCTGGGCACGATCCAGCAAAGCCCACTCTTCCTGGGAGAAGTCCACAACCACATCCTTGAAGGTCACTGACTCCTAAAAGATCACATTGGTTCTGCTCAACAAGGGACACCCCAACCCACATTCACAGAAGGGGTTGAGGGTGGTGGTACCAGACAGTCAAATGGAGGAGGGTGGGAAGTCCAGAAGTCAGACTCTACTAATGCCTTGTGGGTCCTCGTCTTTGGCTTCCAGTCACAGGCACGTACAGACCCTGGGCCCGCTGTTAACACAGCATGCATGTCTGACAGAAATAATATGCCCATTTCTTATTGAACTGGATTCTAATTTCTAAATCTGAGTCTGACATTTCCCCTCGAGAATCTTCCTCTGCTTATTCTAAAACTCTGTAGCCCTGTGGCTATGGCACTTCACAGTTATGAGGTGGCAGCTATATTACTGGCCATCTCTAGCACGACCTCCTCATCTATTCAATGGAAAGAACCATTTCCACCTCAGAGGGTGGTAGCAAGTTCATGTTGGTGAGGCATCTGCTGTTGACAGGGTCAGAGAACCTTGAAGCCGTGCCTAGCAATCCTGTGTGACCAAAGGGACCCTTATTCCAAACCTGAGGTTGGTAGAGACCAGCTCTCTTTGCTGCCATGACTTGGAGTTGTGCATTGCAAGACACAGGTGGAACAAGAAGTGGGATTTGCGGCCCTGCCCCTTGCTGGCTAATATGGCCAGAGCACTGTTTCGGAAAAGGAAAGACAAAGGGCTGGGCTATGACCAATGTTTGGTGCTGGCTGGCTATGGTGGCATCCATGGTATGAACTGGCGGCTGGGCTGCTGTCTGTCGTGAGAGGTAAAAACTACCTATGGAATTTGAAAATGAGGGACCCAACTGCAACTCCAGGAAAGTGGGTGTGCTTCATCTGATCTGTGGCTGGTTTTGGCCATTAAAAAAAAAAAAAAAAAAAA